TATCTGCAATTGTCAGGAAGGCATCATAAGACCAATTTTCACCACAGTATGTTCACCTTTTAGGCTCCTACCATCTCACAGAATTCATTTCCTTCTTTGTCTGAAGGTGGGTTTTTAAAGGGCAGCCCATATGCCAGCATGATGTTGACTAGATGTCACCTTGCATTGCTAAATAAAACTGAAGCGTATTGCAGTAGGTTCAGTGTCTCTCCCCCAAAATTTATGTCCAGACCTAAACCCTGATCTTATTTGGAAATAAGGACTTTGCAGATGTAATAAAGTTAGAATGAAAAAGCATGAAAATTAGTAGTCATAGAAGTAAAGAGAGGGGAAAAGAGGGTAAGCAAGAGGAGACCACACAAGACATGGAAGCAAAGGAAAGCCATAAAAGCAAATGTGGGTAACAGCTGGCGGTGTTGGACAGATCTGGCTTCCAGCTTAGTGAAACCAGGTGGGGCTGACTTGACAGTTGCTGCAGGGGACAGGTGTCATGAAGTCTGCCTGCCTAGGACAGTTGCAAAGGTCATACAAGGTCAAGGCAGAAGCCAGAGCTAGAAATGCCCATGTTAGTTTCTTGTCAGGCATTTGATCATTTTTCTGTCCTACATCTCATGAAGACTCTGGGTTTGCTTATACGTATAAAGGGCTAGTTTGGCACACAGATGAAATTTTTACCTAATCCTGGAAAGCTGTGCTTCATGTAAGTTTACATTATCAATCTGTAGCTCCCTTCATCAGCCACTACTGCATCATCCTATTTGTGTATTACCTATGGGGACTTGGGTCATTCCCTTCTCCCCACTTTTTATATACTAAGATTGGAGCCCAAAATCCACAGGTAGGCTGGATTCACCAGGGGTCAGGGCTAGATACACAGAGCAGCAGTGTGGAAGTACCATTTGTCACTCACAGAGAAGCACAGAGAACTGGTGTAGGATCTGTTATTGCAAATAACTGTGGTTCCTTCCCTATTACCTCAGATAAAGGAGATAAAACTATGGGCCACATGCAGTTTTAACTAAAATTTCAACCTGTACAAGGCTATTTTTGAAAGATTCAGGCCAAGAGCTGACTCTAAAATGTTATTTAGAAATTATTCTTGAGGTCCCTCTCTGTTCAGGACTCTGGACTAGGTTTATGAGACTTAGAGTCAGAGATCATGACTATTAGAGGCTCATAATCTGGTGTGGAAGAACAAGTCATGGGAACGAATATTCAAACACAAAGGTGGATGAAGGGGCAGGAAGAGGTCAGTGGGAAGGCAGGTGACGGAAAGGTCAGTCATATGTACTCATGTGGTTTTTGAGTGCTCACTCTGTGCCAGGGGCTTGGGAGACAAAGAAGAAGGAGCAGTAAGATTAATAAGGGTCTTCCCTTGGGAGGATCAGAGTCAAAATATGTTCAATGTACACAGCGGTTTCTAGCAACTTCTCTCCTGCCCCCTTTATCCACCTAGTTCTCTGTCTCTGATCACTCTAACCTATTCTTTTCCCCCACAGATTTCATTCTCTGAAACAATCTTGCTCATTTATTTGATTACTTGATAATAGCTTTATCTCCTCCACTGGAATGTTAGCTCCATAAGAGTGTGTTCTATACTAGCCCCAATCCCTAGAATGGTGTTAGCAACCACTAACAGCTGTTCAGTGAATGTCGACCAAATGAGATGCAGCCCAATAGGAATCACAGAAGCCAGTAATGAAAGGGATTAAGGGCATTGGGTTTGGATCCAGACTACCTGTGTTCAAACTCAGCTCCTCCATTTACTCACTGTTTTACTTTGATCTAGTTACTCTACCTTTCTATGCCTCAGTTTCCCTTAATGCCTAATATAACCAGCCTCGTAGGATTGTTAGGAGGATTGAATGAGTTAATACACATAGTAAAAAGCACTTAAAGCAGAGGCTAGCAAACATTTTCTTAAAGAGCCAGTGAGTACATATTTTGGGCATCGCACGCCATGTGGTTTCTGTTGCTATGACTCAGCTCTACCCTTGTCACACAAAAGCAGGTGTAGACAATACATAAACAAATGTGTGGCCCAATTCTATTTACAACATTAAAAATCATAGCACAGCATGTAACATAACCTATAAGAACTATAGCGCAAAATAATACTCTGTTGACCAGGGAACTAGAAGTCTTTCTTTTGTGATTCCAAAGCCTCTGAGCCACAGTTTAGTCATCTGTACCATGGAGATAATAACTATGCTTTGCTACCTCACTGGGTTATTTGGTGATTGCATAAGATAAAAGATGAAATAAAAAGTACAAATGGACTGTGTACAAATAAGGCAAAGCGCTCTATAAAAATGGTTCTATAGTGCTGTTTGGATCCAAGATTGCCATGCAGTAGGTAGGTCAGATATTATTACACCCATTTTACAGATGAGGAAGCCAGAGATATTAAATGAATCATCTGAGGTCACACAGCTGATAAACGAAAGATTTAAATTGGAACCCAGACAATTTTTATTCTAGTACAGTGTCCTTAATGACACTGTCCGACTCCCCCACACACTGAAGAGAAACCTTATGGTACAGAGCTTCTCTTGGGATTTTTCTCCTTAACTTTCTTACACATGAGTACACCATTTCTCCAGGCACATCCCATACCAAAGGATTCCATGAGTCAGGCAGCACTTGCTTCTTGTCCTTATAGTTATCAAGAAATAATTGTATATATTCAAATTATATATCCAGCCCACACTTTGTCTTGTCAAACTAAAGAAAAAAAATAAAAAGGAAAAGAAACACTCAGTGGCATGCCTGTTCCTTAATTAGCTTTCATGCAAAAGAGAAAAGTTCACAACATAATCCTATCCCCATTCCCCCTGCCCTGCAATACCCCAACACACACATTTTTAAGAAACACAAAAGTCTGGTCAGTTTGTATGTGGGTTGAATTGCATATGTTGTGTTACCGTAAGAAATCTACTTGGCCTAAGTCTATAATAACAAAGAGTTGAACCGTTGGTTGTTGATGAAGACTTCCCTTACTTTCAATTAGGATGCTGGAGGTGTGCAAGCATGGAAACTCAAGATCCCAGCTTTCAGCTACCATGTGAATAGAGCTTATAATGGTACCGCCAGCTAAATGCCTAGGAGGGAAATATCCAAGTGCTAGATATTTTTCAACCTACCAAAATGGCTAAAATTAAAAAGACTACCAGTACCAAGTATTGGCAAGAATCTAGGGAAACAGGAACTCTCTTACATTGCTGGTGGGAATGTAAAATGGTATGGCCATGTTGGAAACAGGTTGGCAGTTTCTTAAAAAATTAAACTTACACTTCCCATATGACTCAGCAATTCCATTCCTAGATATCTATCCAAGGGAAATAAAAATATATATCCACACAAAGATTTGTATGCAAATATTCATAGCATCATTGTTCATAATAGCCAAAGTCTGGAAACAACCCAATGTCCATGGATAAACAAAATATTGTGTTTCAATACAATAGAACACTACTCAGTAATAAAAGGAATGAACTACTGATATATGTAACAACATGAATTCATCTCAAAAACATCATGCTAAGTGAAAGGGGACAGATATAAAATATGCATACAGTTCCATTCATATAAAATCTCTAACAAAAGCAAAATTATGCAGCAATAGAAAACAGATTGAAGGGCTGGGGTGTGAGCAGGAATGAACTACAAAAGGGAATGAAGGAACTTTTTGGGGATGTTGAAAGTATTCCAAATTTTAATTGTGGTGATGGTTATATAACTGTATAAATTTGCTAAAACTCATCTAACTGTACATTTTAAATGGATGAATGTCAAGGTATGTAAATAGTACTTCAATAAAGCTATAAAACAGAAGTGTTGAGTATTTTTTAAGTTGTTATATTTTTCTTTTAAAATGTGTATGTTGGCCGGGCACGGTGGCTCACGCCTGTAATCCCAGCACTTTGGGAGGCCAAGGTGGGTGGATCACAAGGTCAGGAGGTCGAGACCATCCTGGCGAACACGGTGAAACCCCGTCTCTACTAAAAATACAAAAAAATTAGCCGGGCGAGGTGGCGGGCGCCTGTAGTCCCAGCTTCTAGGGAGGCTGAGGCAGGAGAATGGTGTGAACCTGGGAGGCAGCGGAGCTTTCAGTGAGCGGATATCACGCCACTGCACTCCAGCCTGGGCAACAGAGTGAGACTCCATCTCAAAACAACAACAACAACAACAAAAATGTGTATGTTTATTTTAGAATGTGTGAAAGGTATAAAAATGGAAAATAAAAACCTTAATCCCACCTGCCAGAGATAACTACTACTAAGGTTCTTTAATAAGTTAACATTGAAAACACTATTATATCCTGATAGTTTTCACCTAATGTTACATCCTGAGCATTTTATCTTTTTAAATTATTCAAAACTATGATATTTGGTGGCTATATAATATTACATCATGTGTGTTACAGTAGTAGATTTACCAATTCCTCTTTATTAGACATTTAGATATTTACAATTTTTATTCTTATGAAAGTAAATTCTGAAAGTGTAAATAAGGTCCAAAGTTTATGGATGATGTTTGAGGCCCTTGATGAATACATATTTCTAAATTGCTTTTCAGAAATATTTCATAATCAATGCAAGAGAGTGACCATAGCACTGTTACTTGGCAGCACTATTGTTTTCTTTCTTTCTTTCTTTCTTTCAATATTTTTAATTACTTGTATTTCTGGTGAGATTAATTCTTTCTTTCTTTTTCTTTTCTTTTTTTTTTTTTTTTAAGATTCTGAAAACCCTGTCACCTGCTTTATTTCTGGAGAAGGGTAAAGGGAGAAGGGAAAATATTCACTTGAATTTGAGGGGCAGCTAAACTGGAAGCAACAATTTCAGGCCTCTAAGTTTCCTCTGATCCATAAGGGAACTGAAACTTCCTTGTTTGGAGATTCAAAGAGTTTAATTTTTCCCTGGAGCAAGATCAACAATTTTCACTGCGATGAAAGAATAAAAAACAAACTCAATAGCACCAAATGGGGCTTTAACACAGAAAACAGGGCCACTCTTTTTAAATGCAAATTTTTACATTAAAATACGTTTATAAATCATAGTAGGTGTTCTTCCTCTGGATTCAACATTTCTCCCTTCCCTAACAGGAGCCCTGGAACCTGAAGAGCATGTACATTACTAACCAGACATACAATCCAGCCGCCTTGTCCAAATTGGAATCTGATTGCTAACGGACTAGACTCGGGGCTGCCCCAAGGGGTGGGCAGCAGTAACTATGCTCTCAGGGAGAATGGGTACTGAGGATGCCACCAGTCAAAGAGCCGAACGCTGTGCACTGGGTCCAGGATGACTTGCACACCCTGCTCACTGCGCAGCTTCCGATCACCATGGACAGGGGAATCTTGGAACACCAGTCTCACTGGATGATGCCACATGTCCGTGCTCACACTGATAGTAAACAGAGTAAATATCATGCCCATGACAATCGGAATACAGATGAAACTGAGGGTGGTGACCTGCAGTAGGCAGCAGTGCTGGTCTGGATTGGTATGAACATCTTGTTACTGAACGGGAGGCTGCAATCCTCCTGTACACTTGCTCTTTAACCTAGGGGACTGTTTTTTGAACTTGAAGTTGAATTCCCACATTGGTTCCTGTCTGTTCCCAACAATCTTTCTGCATCAGAAAAGTAAGCATTTGGAAGTCTTTAATGCGCTGGGGGTGCTTTCTGGAATGGCTGGATTCTTGGAGATTGGAGCAGCAAATGGCTCATACATATGGTACAGAGATCGGATCACACAAGCCCGGAGACAGTGCAGCTTCTCCATTGACTCTGGTCGCAGACGCAAAGACAGGGAAGCGTCCAGCGGGTAGTGCCTTCGGTACAACCTGGTCCAAAAAGTAGCAGTGCAAGTGACAGTCCAGGCATTCTTACAAATCAGGGAAAAATTCACAATGTCCTCAGGATGGATATAGGAGACCAGCAACAGCCAAATATCCATGGGATACTCTTCTCCAAGAGCCCCGTCCACTTCTTCTTTGTGCCTCTTGCTTTTCTTTTCTCTGGAGACAGTTCTCTCGTGGATGCTTTCCTCCTGGGCATCCATCTCATCACTGCTGTCGATGATGTCACAGGGCTCACCAGCCCCAGAAACAGCTTCCTCTGCAGGAACCTGAGAGGCTTCCAAACCACAAAGAGATTTTACTTTCTGCTGAACAGCGTTGGTTACGGTTTTCTTGACTCGTCCGGATCTCATGACAGCCGGATCCGACTTGGCGTAATCCGCCATGGTCACTCGGCCGGAGCAGGCTTCGTGGGCCCGGAACTTGAGTCACTTTCCTCTCTTGGGCACGGCGACCGTATTGGGGCGAGGCCTGCCTAGCAGGCCGGTTCCCCCGGCTGTGTCTCTGGCCGGAGAGCCGGTCACGGGAGCCGCAGGTCAGCTCCGCCCGGCTCCACACCCGAGATTAATTCTTTCTAAGGTGCTACCGTGGTCATTGGGGCTGTTTACACATATTCCAGTTCATCTCCCTTTGGAAACATAACAGGTTTGGACTCTTCTCTCCTTTTGAAATTATGCTTGGCCATGGGACTTACTTTGGCCAATGAAATATGAATAAAGTGACATGTCACTTCTGGCTCAAAACTTTAGGAGCCAGTGCACAATTTGCACATTTCCCTATTTCGTGCCTGTATGATGATGACAGTGTGAATTGAGATGGAGCTTCTGCCAGCCTGGGGCCCAAGAGACCTAGATGACCTTGGCTCCTCGGTGAACCCACACTGGGAGGTAGCATGAGTAAGAAATAAACCTTATTGCATCACTGAAGTTCAGGGCTGGTTGTCACTGAAGCATAATTGAGATTATCCTGACTGATATGATTCCATGTATTTTTACATAACAATATGGCGAAAAATTAATCAATGTCCTTCCACTTCAGGAAAATGCATAAATGGATATGAGGACTGTGTGACTCTGAGACAAAGGGAAAACATACATCTTCATAGTCAATGATTTTTCAATTTAAAACTAATATTGTAGTGCTCGCTTCAGCACCACACATACTAAAGCTGGAATGATACAGAGAAGATTAACATGGTCCCTGTGCAAGGATGACACACAAATTTGTGAAGCATTCCATATTTTTTTAAAAAGAAAATAATATTGTAATGTATTTCTACAAGTAAAGTGAAGAAAGGAAAGTATATGATTCATAGGAATAAAGTAAATCATGAGTTTTGTGAAAATGGCACCAAAAATTCAGAAAGAAAGGGAAAAGTCAACTCTGAGACTCCAAGCTGATTTGTTCCCATTTTGTTCTGTGTCCTTCTACTGTTGTTACCCAGACAACACTGCATGCAATGTGGCGGAACAGGTGCAACCTTGCACTGCTGTGATAAGAGAAGGTATTTAGAAGTGTTACACAAGACATGTTATGACAATCCAGCTTCTGCCAATGAATGGAGCATTTTGTGTTTGGATCCTGAAGAAGAAGTTACTCTTCTTGTCAAAGGAAAGAATCTAAATTATCCTTCCCAAGGCCACACCTAGGCAGAAACACATACAGGATACAGAAGGTCAGGTAGAACCACAATGGCAGGGAAACAGAGGCTCAACAAAGAGATACATTTTGCCAATCATAATATTTATGGACAGCATAGGGATTAAGGACCCCAAAGAAATGACTTCTCGGAACAAGTCGGCTTAAGATTTGGGGCCAGAATCCAAACAGAATCTACAGAACTTGTACAATGCAAGGAGAAAAATACCAAATGTCTAAGCAATCTTACCTTAAAAAATAATAACAGAACTCTCTCCCGAATAGTATTCTTTGTTGGTATACATACTTGATGTGACTTATGTAGAAGAAAATTAAATAGCAAATAAATTGTAGCAGAACTATAGTTAGAAATAAGTAATAGACTTGGGTTAGAATTTTTAAAAATCAGGAAATACAAATTTTACGTTTGGGAAAATTATTGGAAAAAAATCTGTGTTCAGATTTTAAACTTTGGTTTCAAAGCCATTTTAATGAGAACATTAAAAGGGAATTTTTACTTTTCAAAAACAGGAGTATTGGATTACTTATTCACCAAATTTTATATAATCATAGAACATCTATTAGGCAGTACAATTGAGTGCAAAGGAAAAGGAATTATAGCTCTACTTCTGCTGGAGAATACAATAAAGAAATAAGAAAGCATGTTCATTTTCTTCTCCTATACATATGTTAGTAAAATATGACTATTATCTATAGGTCTTGGGAAATGATTTTGAAGGTACGTCTTAATAGCTAATATTTATTGAGAATCCACCATGTGGCAGTCAATTTACATGTGTTACCTTCATCTTCACAAAAACCTGATCAAGTCAGCTGTGGTAGACCCAATTAATGGTGGTCCCCAATTAATAACACCTTCCAGTATTATACCCTCTCCCACATTGACTGGTGGGCCTGGCCATCTGATTTGCTTTGTCCTAGGGGACAATAGCAAGCATGATACAAGTAGTGGCTGAATAAGTGCTTGAACATTGGATCTGTCTTCTCAAGATCTAGTTGTTGCCATGTAAAAAGCTCAGACTAAATTACTAAATCATGAGAGGTCACCTGGAGAGAGGCTCTGGAGAGTGAGAAGCCATCTTGGACATTCCAGCCCTAACCAAGCTCTCAGCTGATTATTGTTGAATAAGAGACCCAAGCAAAGCCAGCAGAACCACCCAGCTAAACCCCAACGCACAGAATAAATTTAATGTAATAAATCATTAGACCAGGTACGGTGGCTCACGCCTGTAATCCCAACACTTTGGGAGGCCAAAGTAGGGGGATTACTTGAGGCTAGGAGTTCGATACTAGCCTGGGCAACATGGTGAACCCCATCTCTCTAAAAGAAAACCTCAAAAATTAGCTGGGCATGGTGGTATACACCTGTAGTCCCAGCTACTCGGGAGACTGAGGTGGGAAGATGGCTTGAGCCCAGGAGATGGAGGTTGCAGTGAGCCAAGATTGTGCCACTGCACTCCAGCCTGGGCAATGAAGTGAGACCCTGTCTTAAAAATAAATAAATAAATGATAAAAGTAATAGGTTATTTTTGTTTTAAGCCACTATACTTTGGTGTGGTTCGTTAAATAGCAATAGATAACTGAAATATGAGTAATATAATTTATAATTGATGTATATGCTAATTGTGAACCAGAGAGGTTAAATACATAATCGAAGTCTTATAAAAAGATTGTAATTCTGGGTCGGGCACGGTGGCTCACGCCTGTAATCCCAGAACTTTGGGAGGCCGAGGCAGGTGGATCACGAGGTCAGGAGTTTGAGACCAGCCTGGCCAATATGGTAAAACCCCATCTCTACTAAAAATACAAAAAAATTAGCTGGGCATGGTGGCACGCACCTGAAGTCCCAGCTACATGGCAGGCTGAGGCAGGAGAATTGCTTGAATCTGGCAAGCAGAGGTTGCAGTGAGCTGAGATTACGCCACTGACTCCAGCCTGGGCGACAGAGTGAAACTCTGTCTCAAAAAAAAAAAAGAAAGAAAGAAGGAAAGAAAAAGATTGTAATTCCAAATGTACCACACAAAATCCCATGTTCTTTTCACTATGCTTTCCTAAATTCCAGGTTTATACATCCAAACTGCTTATTTGACATGTCTCATTGGTTCTCTAATAGGCATTTCAAACATAACAGGCCCTAAACCAAACTCTTGAGCCCTTGTTTCCAAATTTGCTCTTCTCTCTGGGTTCCCTACCTCAGTAAATAGCACCAGCACCCATCTAGTTACTCAGGAAAAAAAAAACCAAAAACAAAAAACAAAAAAAACCTAGGCCGGGCACGGTGGCTTACACCTGTAATCTCAGCACACTTTGGGAGGCCAAGGCGGGTGGATCACTTGAGGCCAGGAGTTTGAGACCAGCCTGGCCAATATGGTGAAACCCCATCTCTACTAAAAATACAAAAATTAGCCGGGCATGGTGGCGTGTGCCTGTAGTCCCAGCTACTTGGAAGGCTGAGGCATGAGAACCACTTAACCTGGGAGGAGGAGGCAATAAGCCAAGATCACGCCACTGCACTCCAGCCTGGGCAACAGAGTGAGACTCCGACTCAAAAAACAAAAACAAAAAAAGCCCTGAAATTATCATTGACTTATCTCTTTTACTCACACCCCGTCACCCAATCTATCAGGAAGTCCTGTCAACAATAAGTTCAAATACTCCTCTTAGTCTTATCGCTACTGTTCATTCCTTTCTCCTCAACCACCCTAGTTCAAGCCATGATCATACCTGACTTAAACTACCACAATAGCATACGGGGAAAAGAAAAAAGGGGAAAAAAATGGCACTACAGAGAGCGTAGAGGGTAAAGGGACAATAGAAAAAATACTTTCCGATTCAACAGTTCTTGTTGTCACTGCCATCCCCAGCACCAGCCCAAACTGAGGGACGTTCTACAAAGTACCTTGACAGTACTCTTCAAATGGTGGCTATCTTCAGAGAAATGAGGCTGGAATCTGGCAGAATGAGGGGAATGTCTTCTCTCTTTACTTCTCTGCCACAGCTTTACTCATTTCTAGAAAAGCATACTGGATGGGTGTTTGTGCATCTCATGCCCTATAATCAATTAGAAAATAAGGTTCTACATGTGATTTTAGGGAGATTACAACTGGAGGAGACTAAGATCTTGAGCAAGCTTGATCCCTTCCTCTGTACACCAAAATGCTGCTTTGTATTTTGGTTGTTTACTCCTCAAGAGAGACGATCTGGGCAGGAGAAGGTTAATTGAGTAAGTAAACCATGACTTCCAATAGAGAGTGTTCAAAAAAAAAAAAAAAAAAAGCACCAGTATGTGTTAGCCCAATAAATAATTCATTGGACTGCCTATTCACAGACTTATAGAAAAATATTACAGAATACCTACATGTCAGTCAGTCTGCAGTTAGTTAAATAAACACTCTATGCAGATGTCACCTGTAAAACCCAGATTTATACATTAGTTGTATGTTTTACCCAGGCAAAAACATAATATCTAGTAACTTGACTTCAAAAGCTATTAAAATCTCATGCCCTTGAAAAGGTTACCTGACATCTTGTAGGCCAGATCCAGGGTTGAATAGACATGTCCCCTGCCACTGAGCTTACAATAGCCAAACATTCAAATGACACTTTAGTTACATTTGCTGCCCTTACAGAGAAACATTGAGAGTTGTGATCCTTCTGGGCCTTCTGGAATTCTGCCGACTTGAGGGGCCACAGCTGCAGCAGTGAATGCAAAGGCAAAATGTGGATT